TTTTTTTTTTTTTTTTTTTTTTTTTTTTTTTTTTTTTTTTTTTGTGGCTATGAATAATACAAATTATCACAGAAAATAATTCAGATTTGTATCAGGAAAAATACAGATTTGAATTATGAGCGTGTTGATTAAAAACTGGGCTCAGAGGAGAAGATGGCTGACTAACGGCTGATGTGTGGTGATCCAGGCTTGTGTAAAACTGCCTCCTCTCCAGGTCTGTGCAGGTGAACTCATCGGGAGTACGAGCTGTCGAAGGCTGACGTGGTTTGCCTTTACCAGAGTTATGCAACTGCCTTTGGTTTGCTTGAATTTCCACCAGTATAATCCATGATTTAAATTTTTGCATGTTTTGAGAAGTGTTAAACTGGGGGGAAAACTGCATGATCCTGGGAGAGACAAATGCCCCGGATCAGATGGTGCTCAGCATCATGCATCTTGCAGGTTTACTAGTTTCAAGAGATTAAAAATACGCGGGATGCAAACTGGGTCTCCCAGTGTCTCCGCATCCCTTTTGCAAACAGGTTGAAAGAAAAGTGGCTCATCACGCGGTGGTCACTGACTGTTGTGGTTTCTTTTCTTCACAGGACAAAGGCGCTTGTCTTAGAACTTTTAGCAGCTGTTTGCCTCGTCAGAGGAGGGCATGAAATCATTTTATCTGCGTTTGATAATTTTAAGGAGGTACGTTACTCTTTTCATTAGAATTTGATGCACGTGTCAGTAGTTCTCTCACGTGGCGTTGGCTAGAGCTTCCTCATTCAGCTGAATTTCCTAGAGTAAGGGTTTTCCATAAACTGCAGATTTTCCGTAAATCACTTTGAGCTGCAAAGAATCTGAGAGTGATGTTAATGCCATCATTTTGCACACTTGTCTTTAAAAGAGCCTTAATCCCAACAAGATGAATCCAGACTGAAAATTGCTTCCTTTTCCTTTTGGTCAGTTGAGCTGTGTCTCTGAAGTGGAAGACTAATGGAGATCTTGAGAGCTTTACTCCAGCTCTTCTGTCTCTGAACACTTTTATATGTTCTTAGATAAAACAACCAGGAACGGTGTATTAGATCTCCCATTTTCAGAGCCATTTACACAAGCCCTTGAACTGCAAAACTCCTGGGTTTACTGTCAGGAGAAATTTTATTTGCAAATAAATTACAAAATCAAGTGTCTGTGGTGAAACATCAACTGCTGAAATCAATGCAGGTATTCCAGGTGTGCCAAAGTGGTGTCGTTCATGGGTGTTTGTGTTCAAGCATATCCCTTGTGTGTGTACAGTGGTTAATGGGACTTGAGAACATTGTCTGAAGGTTCAGAAGCACTACTGTGAGAATCAAGTCCTAGAAAGCTGCTGTTCAAGTTTATTTTGAATACCAGATATATTTGTGGATTTATTATCAAAGAAAAAATATATCTAGACTTACCAGCTCAAAAAAATTGTTAGGCTTGATGAGTCCCAACTGGACTTGTGCATGTTTTTCCTTCATGCTGCTGTTGCTATAATTATGCGGGTTAACGGAGGTGATCAACAAACCAAGTTGTGACTATTGGGTTTTTTTACTTTTTCTGCTTTGGGAATTATTTCTGGTGGGGAGATACCAACCTCTGATTTACAGCCAGTGTAAATATTTGCATGTCGCAGACAAATAACTGTATTTGTGAGGTGCTCGTTGTTACACAGAGCTAGAGCAAAAAGTTTGAAGTAATCTCCAATGTGGGCCTGTTGTAGAAACCTCAGCTTTGCCAGACCAGGCCTGTCCGAGATGTGAGCTGTGGTGTAGAGCTGCCTGGGGCAGGGGTAGTGGGACTGGCACAGCTGCTGGCGAGGCGTCCCCGGCTCTGGAGTGGAAGTCGAGTTGGAAGTACTGTGTGACCATGGAGAAAGCCTTGCTCCTGGGTCCCAGCAGAAGGGGTGGTCAGAATATGGAAATGAGACATTCTGCTTCCAGCTGGGGAAAGGTCAGCAGTCCTTGAATGCAGGCACAGGGCTGGAACTGGAAACTGGAGTTTGGCTCTTTCGTTTACTCGTCAGTCACCTTGGGTGAGCCACTGGTATCTTTGTCTTTGCACCTTTGTGAGGTGAAGGAACCACAGAAACAAATGCAGATGAGATTGTTCTGAAGAACAATTGGGTAATATGAGAGAAGCACTTCAAATAGGAAAAGCACTGTAAACATGCAAAGTCCAGTGTTATTATTCCAGGCTTAAATTCTTCTAGCTTATTAGTACTCTATTATAGAAGAAATAAGATTCATTAGGGAGGATGGTGTGAGGGATTGCTGGTAGCTTGGGCAAATGGCTACAGCCCAAATACCACGGTCGGGGCGGTCTGTGTGGCTCCTTAAACGGGCCCTTTGCGTGTCACAGGGAGGGATGTGTCACGTCCCGTTTGCCTTCTTACCTTCCTGACATCTTTAGTCGAGGTTTTGCTCCTTCATTTTCTTCCAGGTGCTCCATCATCTCTCTTTTCTCCTGCTAACATTCAGAAATTCCTATGTAACCCGTTCAGTTTGTCTGCCGTTACTTATTTATCCCATGCCTGTTTGTGTTTGATCGAGTCGTTTGCTGTAGTGGAAGTGGCAGATGTTGCAGGTGAAGCAAGTGTGCAAGGAGAGGGGATTTTACCTCCCTCAATTCTGCATTTAGCTGTTCTTCTCTTTATCCGATTATGCTGCTTATTTCTTGCTCTGTGCTGTTGTTTTCCAGTTTCCTCCTGGGCAAGTTTTCAGTCATGGTTTCAAGTTTTCATGTTTATAACTCATTTAACTGGCATATTAAACATCTCTGAGTTGCTGACATGTAAAGTACCCAGGGTTAAATTTCCAGCAGTATCCTTCCAATTTAAATTGCTGTAAGCTCAATAATATTTGTGTGGCTTCTGTAACTATGCATTGCAGGGCTGCCACAGCTTCTCTGTGGTTCTTTCATCAGACACTGCGTGCATATTTAGGACAGATTAGACTCGTCAAACTAGATCTCTGCCACTCTGTCTCCTTGCCATAAAATAACTTCAAAAGAAACCTGAACTCCCGCGTAACACTCACCCTGTAATAAAGTCAGTAGGGAAACCAGGATATTTCGGACCAAATTCTGCTCTCATTTACATCAGGGTGAATATCAAATATTTCATTAGGCTTTGAGCTTTGCTCTGATGTAAATGAAAACAGAATTTGGTTTTCGATGTCTGACTGAGCTGGAAAACCACAGCTGATGCGAATCTTTTCAAGAATTCTTTTTGAAAATGACTTTTCATTTGAAAATGATTTTTTCTTTCTGGCCGGGCTCAGGATGTTCAAATGGAGGACGGTTTGTTTTGTTAAGCTGTCACTTGAAAATGATTCTTGTCCAGTTACTTCCCGTGAATCCCTGATTGTCGTGCGCAGGTTGTTTCTCTTTGCAGGGCTCTGTGCATTTACAGACATCACCTGGTGCTCGCTTTTCAGCACAAGGTTCAGATCATGTTGAACTTCTCCACACACAGACAGGGGGCTGCTTCAGAGCCACCAAGAAGTTCACAACAAACCAGGAGCTTGAGATGGAGTTGAAGAAAGCAGTACTCAACAGGAAAAGAAAGCCCAGAAGCGTTGTTACTGATGGGGAATGTGGAGCAGGAGAGGGAAGGAGTAGGTTGGGGTGGGTGGAAGGAAAGGCAGGTGATGGATGTGAAGTTCCTCAGAGCTGAGGAGAGCAGGCTTCACGCCATCACGCTGGTGGTGGGAAACACGTGCCCCCTGTTTCAGGCCAATGAGCGGCAGAGCTGTTGAATTCTTTTTTTTTTTTTTTTTTTTTTTTTTTTTTTTTTTTTTTTTTTTTTTTTTTTTTTTTAAATTTGGCCAAAAGGCAGGCAGGGTTACAATGAAATCCTTGTCTTTATTGTACAGAATGAATCAGGAATTTTAAGGGAGACGTCAGGATTAGTTTCTCATCCATCTTTGTATTCCTCCTTTGCGTTCTTTGTCACGTTGAAGGAGTTTGCATGTCGAGTACAAGCAGGGGATGGTTTAGGTCAGTCTCTCACAGTGTATGTGTCTGCTTTCTGCAGCTTAGGTTTTGGGAGCTATTTGGCATTGACAGAATGGCAACTTCCACCTCTCTAAGAGAGAAATGCCCCAAAAGGTACACACACCTTCTGGGTTTGGTCGTTCCGTCCAGGCCAGTGCAGATGTCGGGTGAATCATCCCATTTCCAGCCTAACTTCAGCTCATCCATTTTCAGGAGATCTTGATCTGGGCTAAACAGGAAAGAAAGTTCAAATTAAACTGTGAAGACCCTGTCCCTGCTTGTTCCTGGGCAAGGGGGATTTTTACACCATCCCATGCTTCTCTTTTCAAGATGTTCCATAAATCTCATCGCTTTTGAAGTCCAGGTGCTCCTTAGCCCCTATGTCAAGATAAGCCTCCGCTGCTCAGCTGAGTTTGGACTTGCCAGGGTGGTCAGGTCCTGGTTAGGAGAAGCTCTGTTAGCCAGGAAGGCCAGCAGATGTTTTGGTTTGGCTGCAGCCACTCTCGGTGTCATCGGGCCTCAGAGAGCTTCGGAGATGTCCCGGTGCAGAAGCGAGGAGGTCGGGGTGGTGCTGGAGGCTGCTGCTCAGCGGGAGCAGGGCTCTGCCTCCAGCAAGCGGCTCCTGCTGTGCTCTGCAGCTGGAAAACTTCCTTTTTCTGAGTGATGCTTGACTGAATTCTGCTGTATTTACGGGAAATAGTTGGGAGTTTCTATGCCACAGGTAACCCATGGGAATAGCTGGGGCACTTGGCTATTCCCTTATTTTTTTGACACTTTCTGGCCCGTTGCTGGTTCTCTTTGCAGCCACCTCTTATTCCCAGCACCTCGCTCTGAGGGTGGATGCTGTTTGGAGGGGGTATCACAGCCGTGGCTGGGTGAGCTCTCCGGCACAGCCATGACCCTGCCTTTACCCGCTTGCCAGTGGGCTTCCTTAGCAGCGTTCCCAGCCCTTTGTGCTTGTTTCCATGGATTTGTGAGAACTGGCTATGCGGTTTTATCCGAGTTGCCTGGGATTTGTGTTGCAGGACGAGCAAATGCACTTTAGCAGAATGCCAAGGGAAGAAAAGGAGAGAGGAGTTAGCCACGAGACAGCTTGGGGGGAGCTCCGAGGGTCACAGACCAGATGCTTAGAGCTTGTGCCCCATGTAAATTGAAGCAGGCTGAGTGCACTGTTGGAAAACAAGATATATTTTCCTGATGCTTTTTCAGAGTAGTTAATTCATTTTAATAGCGTGATTGTATGTGTGAGTATACAGAGAATTAAGCTGCCGTCTTTTACTGCCAACAGTAAAACTTAGTTTTACTGTTCTTTCGTTGCTGACTCCCCTTGCTGTTTCCTGAAAATGCTGGTTTACATTTGCAAAAGCAGTTGAGCTGGAGCTTGGGTGTGTCGGTGTCCTTGAGCCCTTCCAGGGAGGGGACAGCCACAGCTTCTCTGGGCAACCTGTGCCAGGGCCTCACCCCCCTCACAGGGGAGAATTTCTGCCTTAGAGCTAATATAAATCTCCCCTCTTTCAGTTTAACCCCGTTCCCCCTAGTCCTATCCCTCCTCCTGATGACGAGTCCCCCCCCTTTCCCGCAGCCCCTTTCAGCCCTGGGGGGCCGCTCTAAGGTCTCCCCGGAGCCTTCTCTTCTCCAGCTGAACCCCCCAACTCTCCCAGCCTGTCCTCACAGGGGGGCTCCAGCCC